TTCAAATCAAGTTGGCTTTTCGCAGTCAATGATTTCTCATGAGCTGAAATTTAAAAAAATTTCATTCATTCAGAACATTTCCTTTGACTACAACTTAAAATTAGACCTACAAATTTTCCATATTTTGGCAGAGGCGATATTTATTAACTGTATAATCCAGGTTCAGTTTGTTAATTGTAAAAAAAAATGGATTACTTTGAGAATGCACAAATTGGTGGATATCGTATTGAAATGCCATTTCCCCAGCTATTTTATCCCGAGGTAAATTTGAGAGACCGTATTTTGTTCTTTTTATTTCAAAACGAGTTTTTTTTCATTAGATGAATTCCGTAAATAAAAGCTTTGATCAAACTGCCATGTCGAATGTGAACAATTGCGGGATCCAGAGCGATTTTTATGATAGCGGCGTCAAATCGGATATAGACCATCTACAAGGGGACGGGTGTAACATGAACTACCGCCAGCGGCACGTCACAAACAACCCTTTTTCCTATCGCTGCACAGAACGCCAAAGTCGAAGAGCTCGGGAGATGCAAGCCCGCAACGGCCTGTAGTAAGTATCCACGAATGACATCCTCCATTGCGCTCCGTGTAATGCTAAGTCTGAAGTTATCACAGTACCCCGAACGATGGATGCGATAAGCGGAGCGAGTATCCACAATATGCTGGAGGTATGTGCCCCATGAAATCCTCGTCCAATTAATCCCCAACTGACCTTCCCTCTTTGCAGATCCCATGGGTCAGTCGATTACAGTCAACTCACTGTGGCAGTAATGGATATAAATAGACATCAAGTGTTATATATATATATTTATATATGCATTTATATAGCCATGCTGCGTATTGCTTCTAGATATTTTTGTAGTAACGGTGGTCTTCGCTTATAAAATGTTTTGTAAGGGCGAAATCTCCACCATACTTGCTCACCAGAAGAGTGAATGGATCATGTGAATAGTATCAAAATTCTGAACGCATTTCTCTTATTAACGCCAAAATTGTCAAAAATTTTTTTTTCAAATTTTAAAATTAGTAAAAAATTATCTCTTCATTGAGATGTGTGGATTCCTCGTCTTTTATTTCTCACTTACCATAATAAATATATATAAAAATATTTAATACTAAATAAATCATAAACAAAAGAATTCAAATTTGGCTTATATAAAAATAAATACAAAATTATAATAAATAAATAAAAATATACTCACAAAAATGTATTCATAATTGACAATAAGAATACAAATAAAAAAATAAATAAATAAAAATAAAATAAAATAAACAAGAATAAAAATAAAATAAAATATATAGATCTTGTCAAAAGATGTTTCAAGGAAAATAGAGCACAACAAATATAAAGATTCAGTAAAAAAATTGTTCAAGGAAAATAAATTACAAAAAAAAAAAAAATAAATAAAAATGTAAAAAAAAAATATATATATATATGTATATATATTTTTCACATTTATTTTAAATATGTATATTTTTATAGATTTGATTTAAAATAGAATTTCACAGCTAATCCGCATGTCTACAGAGCTACATAATCTTCTCCATTTGGGTCTCTCCCGTTTTTTGTTTTTTTGTCGTTATATTTTTCTATGCGAAATCAGACGAATCCTCATGGAGATGCGGAGTTTCGAGCGGCGAGGCTGGACCTGCTGTGGGGCGGTAATTAACGTGTGTTTTATGGCCATTTGCCACAGCATAGAAACTCACGCAGCACCACTGGCAGCCACTGTGGATGGGGCCCAAGGCGCAGCACCCCCGCAAGCCCAACAATGAATGCAGTGAAGGATTAAAATAAGAAAGATGTGCAAATAAAATATTTTACAAACGGACAACGAGGACAACTTTTGCAGCCGGTAGGCAACGGCACGTGATGTGGGATGGCTTTGTGACCATTCGAAGGACTGCATAGTTGAATGGTGTGGGGTGTAGGGGAGGGAGGGGGTAGCTAGCTGGGTTGGTGATGGTCCGAAATGCGAATGGAACATGTCGATGGGGCACGTTGGGGCAACGAGACCTGGTCGCAAACAAAGGCAACCGGACTTGGCCTCGGACACACTCTCCCTCTCTTCCTCTCTGCATCGCTCTGTCTCTCTCGCTCTCTCACTCTCTCTCACTCTCTGTGCACTGCATGGAGCATTGTCAAAATAAATCAATCGGTTTTATGTTGTTTCTGGAATTTTTGTTTGCTGTTTTGTTACTTTGTTGCCGACGTCGACGTCAGGAAGCGGCAGCCCAAGGGTTGCAAGTGGTGCAAGTGCTGCAATTGGCTGCCAGCAGCGCCAGCTTGTGGTGGCATAAATCAGTTGCTCGTTGGGCGCATTTATGAAAGGATAACAACACACACACACACACACAGCTCAAGCTCATAAAAATGCATAAGTTAAAAATGCTGTAAATAAAAATACAACAATTTCGTATAGAGCTAAACTCTAGAAACCTGCCAACCCTGCCCCGCCCACTGATCCGTTGCGCCACTTTGATTTATCTCGAAGGGAATTAAGATGTCTCAAAAGTTGCAGCGGGCAGCATTAAAATGCCATTGCTGCCATCGGAGGCAGTCATAATCGTGCACGCATCCTTCAGCACCAGCTTCAGCGGGGTCAGGGGTCAGGGGTCAGGGGCCAGGCGGGCTGGTTGGGGCAGAGAAAGTTTGTGGTGCTTCTCTGCTGCGTTTTCTTTGCCTCGTTCTGCAGAACGTCCAAAGTGATTTCCTCTTAGTATTTTCAAAAACTTTCACCCAAAAGGTGTTTACTTACTCACCCACGCACACGCACACATACACACACCCACATACACACACATATACGTTATAGACATGTCCTGCAATGGCACTCCACACTCTAATGAAGCAAATTCCGTAGCGCATTTGCGTCCTCAGCCGCAACTCTTTTAATCCCTAATAACTTTTAAGCAAGTGACTTTGCGCACACAAAATGTCCAAATTCATCATCCTCAAGGAGCGTGCGGAGAGTGCAGAGGGGGCTTTTGCCTAGCTTGGCAAAACCTGGACAGTGGGATTTCAGCTTTCATGTTGAGCCCATAGACTTATACTGAAAGTTCACTGCACACACACACTTACACATATATACACACACATACGCACACATACGCGAGCTCACATCATTAGCAAATTGAAAATTTTACACCAAAATGTTTCTAATTTCGGTTTGAAATTATGATGCATTGAATAAGGCCAAGTGAAAATTTGCAGATTTATATTTTTAGAAAATCTTAGAAAGTCGTTAGGAAGTTGGCAAATTATTTATAATAGGTATTGGGGCATATACGGTAAATATAATAATATTAAATATAGAAACAAAAATATTCCGAATAATGATAACACATAAAAAGTCTAAGATAATTAAAGATCATCATTATGATGATATATTATAGATGTATGGAACAAATAAGTCAAAAATAATAAAAAGAATAATAATAAAAAAAAAAAAAATAATAAATAAATAAATAAATAAATAATAATAATAATAATAATAATAATAATAATAATAATAGTAATATAATAATAATAATAATAATAATAATAATAATAATAATAATAATGATAATAATGATAATAATAATAATAATAATAATAATAATAATAATAATAATAATAATAATAATAA